TTTGTAACAGTTTTATAATCAATTTTAAATTATAAGTAAAACCATTATAATCTCCAGTGGTGCTCAAAAAAAAGTTAAAAATATTAAGGAGTAAAAAATTATTTATTTAAAGTTACTTAGATACACCATCAGACTGAAAATTAATAGTTCTTATTAGTAGAAAAAATTTGTAAATAAAAAACACATTATTGTAAAATCAAGATACCACTTCAGCAACACATGAAAATTAAAAAATAAATACCATATACATTATTTTGGTAGAATGTTTCCAATTCTCAAACTAACATTTTACTTAAGATACCTCAAACAAGTAACGAAGAGAATTTAATAAATGAGTGAGTAATTTTTTCACGAAGAAAAATTTTTAAAGAAGGGCAATCCTGCAAATACAAATGTATTGTTTTATAAATACAAAATGAAGTCTTTTAAAAAATTTTATATGAATTTTTTAGAATATTCCACTGGAAAGCATATTCCAAAAAAAATAAAAATTAATTTTCAAAATAAAATCACGGAATGTAATGTATTATGTTTTGTAAAAATGTAATTTTATATAAATATGTCCTATAAAAAAAGTGTACAGTTTCAATATTACATTATTATATTTGATTTCCATTTAATGAGAAAAAATGAATAATTGTTTGATTATCAATCATGATTATAAATTAAAATATTTAACTCTATACGTATATTTGACAAAACTTCAAATAATCATAATGCAAATGAAAAAAAACTCAACAATTATTTAATGAATTCACTGCATATTTTTAATCGAGTTAGTTAAGTTTAAAACTAATTATCTTAGCAGAAGATTTTTGTAAGTTTATGATAAATCATAAACTATTGTCCACTGTTAACTTATAACTGCCTTGTGTTTACTTAATTTGACTAGAGCGTAGGAGTATTGCAACAGAATATTTGGGAACTCTAATTATATAATTTTTTACCTAATCTAAAAAATATTTCTATACAACAAAAAATACAAATTAATTCATTTACGGTATATTCTATGGCAGAATTTTAGGAGACAAAGCCCCCCAAGTCTCTCCAGATTGCGGTCAAATCCAAACTGGACTGAATTAATTTTGTTGCCCACCTTTGAACAATGAAATGATATTAAATCATATTTTTGTTTGATTTCATATGAGACTAATTGTAATGACAGTTTTAGAGAATGGGATACCGAATATCTTTATAAACACATCTGTTTAATGACGAATCCTATCATCAGTGAAACGTACCTCTATATTTTTTAACTAAACTAATTAAATGTTATAATATTAATATGCTTTTAATGTTATAATAAGCATTAATAAGGAAAGGCAAAAAAGATTTTACGTCTGAAAATTGAAATCGCTATTCTTTTCCCTCCAAAAAAAAAATTTAAGGGCTCACACCAGTTATGTTACCTTTATGTACCTATTTTATCAAAAGTCGGATACATTTCGGGGATCTATTGTAATAATTATTCGTTAATAGACAGTAATCAATTATAACGCNTCTTTATCGTTGTTTAATTAAAGATATTTACAATTTCAACGTATTTTATTATATTAATTAGCGATAAGGGTTATACTTTTCCATCAGATAATATAATGCTACGATATTCATCTACTCCGAAATTTGATAATTTTTTAATCGATTTCGGGAATAATCGATATTCGGAGCTAATTTCATTCGGAGCAATCAATTAATAGTCCTATTCGGAGTATTCGTCGTCGTAGTAACATCCAAATTTTTGTAACCAGGTATTCGTAGTAATTGTTGTCGGAGTAAATGTATTCGGAGGATTTTTTTATAGTGTCGGAGTAAATGAATGTCGGGGCATTATCAGTTCGTGGCAATCTCCGGAACCCATTAAGTGCTTATTATTAATGTGGTTAAATATCTTGTAATTAATTATTCTTTTTAGGTAAAGGTCTTTGTTATATATTTAGTTTATATTTATGCATGTTTATTATAAATTCTTTTCAGAATAATATAATCTGTAAAAACCACATTACATATAATATAATATATGTTTTTTTTTCAAACTTATTCTTGTCGATAACACTTAAATTCAATCCCACATTTTGTTAACATTTAATGATAAATAACTGTTATAATACGTTCTTTAACTATACTAATTACTTGTTTTTATTTATTGCCAACTTATGAAACAAAAAAGACGGTGAAGCAATTTAAAATTTTATTTATAAAATATTTTATAAAACGCTTTTTATTGTAAAATCTATTGTACCTATAGAACGAAAAAACAAGTAAAGAAACCTAGCACAGTAAAATCATACTAATTTAGAATTTATTGACAATGTTTGAAAAAATTTAAGAAAACAGATTTAAATCCTGTAACTCAAACGCTAGAGACACACGTTACCATCATGGCAATCGACCACTGTCATTGCAGAACGATAAAAGGGCAATATAAGCAGGTTCAAATTTCCAAAGTCCTTTTTCTCAAGTTAGAGAAGGCGTTTGAAAAATATTAAAATAAATTTAACTTAATATTTAATGTAGATTAGATTCATATGACTTTTATGAATATCAGTAACCCCATCATTGTGGCTTTTCAAACAGTAGTTTAAAGTAAACAAATTAATTTGTTGTAGATTTGTTGAAAAGTAATAATAGTACTAAATTGAAATTAAAATTATAAAAAAGGTAAAAACTAAAAAAAATATCGTTTTTAAAAATATTTTTCAAAAAATCCTACCCTATCCCTTTTTTATACAGAATGTTCAGTAAGTTAGGAAACAGTTAAATTGTTACAAACAATGAGTACAATAGAAATTCGTTTCCTTATTTACTGAACACCCTGTATGTCAATGTATAGTTCATATTAGAAACACTTTCAAATAATTTTTTGTACAATTTATTAAATTTCTCTGCATTTTCCCCTTCTGCGGGCAGGAAAAGGTCATATTTCCAAAAAAAAAAAAATATATATATATATATATATAAAATATCAAAAGTATTTATTTTAAAAAAATTATTCTGATTCATCCATTTGTCAAATAGTTATGGCAGTTTTATATAAAAACAAATTTAAAAAATGTAGAAATTTATGGATTTTGAAAATCGTAAATTTTCAGAGAAATTTCCTCATTTATGAGAAACAAAGAAAATTTTTTCAACTAGTGATGTTAATGTCTTCAAATAGATACCATTTTTGATCTTTTGACATATTATTGAAAAAAATTGAAAACGGCAAAAAAAAATATAAATACTTCATAGTAAAATAACTCCTCAGTTTCGAGTTGAAGCTAAAAATTGATTTTTAATCATATTAATAAAAAAATTAAGTGTCCACTAAATAAAAATAATTTTTTTTTTAATTTCATCTATAATAGAGGACCTTCCTAATATTTATCTAAAAAAGAGTTTCGAATTTATAGAGCAATCATCATTACCAAATGTTCACAACACAATTTTAAAAAATCTTTAACTGTGACGTGTTGAACTATCTTTAAAATACTTAATAATACGAAATTATAACTTAATCAACAATAATTTTTATTTTTTAACCCAACCCAACTTAACTTATAAATAATAGTATTAAAACAAATACTTGAAATTTGAAGAACATCATGAAAACGTGTTTTTGTATACATGATTTTTTTTTTTATTCATACTTGGATTATTACTTAAATATACTAAAAATAGTTATTATTTACTACATAAAATAAAGAAAAAAAACCATACTTATTTTATGTGTTATACTTGCAAGTGGGCTTTTAATATTGGCCTGTAACAACAACATGGTTTGACACTTGCATAAAGACTAGCTATAGTAGCAAGGGTCGCCACCACCTAGGCGAGGTGTCACACCTATCAGATATGATTACCGGACCATAGGTGGAATTTAATTTTAAGTTAATTAAAAGTATAATCTAAGTTAATATGTCGTTATATGTATAAATTACTATAATACCTCGTGGTTTATTAAACACAATTATGACAATCAAAGTTGTATGTGGTTAATATGTAAAACATACCGTAGCCCGTGTCTAGATTAAGAAATAGGGATAAATACACGCGAGTAATTAAGTTACTCGCGCAATAAAATAAATATTATAGTTGAAGTTAATAAGGAAAATTAATTTAATTGTTATAAAAAAAGAAAATTAAGTTAAACATGGACAAAAATGCGAATGCATCAAAAACCATGTCTACAAATAAAGGCAATACAAATAAAATAAAATATATAAACAAAAAAAAATAATAATATTACAAACATCACGGACGGTATTGGAACACATCCGTTAATGTTAATCGGAAATTAATGAAGAACACCAGGAGCGGTCTAGACACTCGCTCCTTAGCGTTGGCTAGAAGAAAAGGGAAACACGTGCTCTCCACACATAAACAAAATTAAGTTAATTTACGATAAAATAAAATGAAATAAAATAATTAATAAAATATAGCTCATTACATAAATATAATATATAAAAGAAAACGATACCCGGTCTCCGAAGAGACCCATCCGATGGTCTGGATGCTTCGTCGAAAAGACCTGGCCGTTCGCTGTTGGCGGCTCTACTCCATCATTGAATAAAAATATTAATAAAACAATAAATGTGCGCACTCTAGCACGGTCAATGACAGAAGAAAGAAAAGAGAAGAGTCAACACCGATCTAACAGCAATTTCAAATCGATAAGGCCAGTCTTTTTGGAAGGGATTAATACTGATAAACAATTCGATTTTAATTATATTTCTCTTTTATCGCCTTGTCTAGCGGTCAGCGGCAAAATAATGAGTGGTTGACACCGCTGTGTCAGAAAAAGGTTCTTTTACGCGATAAAATAAATAAGTAGACATAACAAAAAATCATAAACGGCCCACCTTCGAATTTGTGACGTTACATACTTATTTCCCCACCTGTATAAGGTCAATAAGTATATTATAAATATAAATGTAATTACCCTTGACATCGTGGACAGTCTCTCATACAACAGTCTATCGCAAAGTTTTATTTGATATTTATCAGTTTATATTGTTTTGTGTTTATACCGTTTATTTTATTATTTTTATTTTTGTCATGTTAAAAAAAAATTTATTTATATTTTGTTACGTAGTGTTAACTTATATACTACTAAAGAAAGATTTAATTTCAATCAAACGCTTCGATTATTACTTGACATTGAATGCATTGTAATTCAGTATATGTAATTCAAATTATCTATATTTCTTAACCCTTGGGTATGTATAGTATTCGGATATATCTTTATGGAATCATTTGGGAGAAGAAACCAAAGTACTATACCTTGGTATGAAGTGTGCGCAAGGAACCTTCCTACAGGTCTTATTGCATCGACAGTTCTTGTCCACCTTTTCAAAAACTAAAACTAAACTAAGTCGTTAATTATACCACTGGTAGGTGTTAGTAAAAAAATTATAATTATATTTATAACATATTTACTTAATGTTAACATTTTAACTACAATTAATACATCAGGTAATATTTGTACTTGGTCCAACTATGCTACAACCCCACTGTGCTAAGTTTTTTTTTGGAATCTTAAAGAAAATACATTTTTAAACATAAAATTATTTCTTTTTGCAAAGTGGGCGCTTAATATATGTTTAAAAAGCATACAAACAGTTACTTGAAAAAATTACAAAAAAAATAAATCTTAGTCTTTTAATTATCTCTATAAATAATAAAAATTAACTTAGGGATTGAAATGTTATGTTTAGATTCCGAAATATATCTTAATAAATAATCACAAAAAGAAGATATTAAAAATCAAATTTAAAAAAAATAGTAATTTGGCCGGCTGGACATAAGTTTCGGATCACTGCATAGTGTGCCAGAATTTCAATAGCAGGACAGAATTAATAGAGCTCGATATTAATGAAAAATACTGTTAAAGATGGATATTTATATGTTTTCAATGACTCTGAATTCAAATTTTACAAAAATCGTTCATTTTTTTTATTTTAGAGGGTTAAAAGTAACATATTGAATTTAATCTAAAATGTGGAGGGATATATTATATTATTTTTATAAATTAGAGGAGAATAAGAGTGAGATAATCTTTAAATTTAATCTAAAATTACGAGTGGTACGTTAAATTACAAGTTTTTGAGGACCCTAAATCTAAATTGAACTTTAATTTTTTTTCTAAATGTAAAAGTACTCTACAATAATTTTTTATTAAAACTGATATTAAGCATTCATACAGTTACCGCTGATTAAACTGTGGTAAATCTAAAAACAAAGAAAGGTATGCTTATATAGCATAATAAATAAGGTTTATTCCTAATTTAGTTAGGTATATTTTTTCCATAAAGATTTTAAGTTTTTATTAATTAAATCAACATTTATTTTTGTTTTTCGATTGGCGTAGCTCAGAAAAGTTATTAATATATAAATTTATACGTGTAAAAATAATTAAATAATTTATTTAGACGAAAATTAAATTATGATAAATTAAACTTACAATAACTTACTTTAAATATTTACTAGTGTCATAACAAAATTTTATACAATTATATTTAAAAACAGTACAAAAAATGCCTTGAAGAAAGTAAATTGACATTTACAATGGCTGCTCGTGGTTTGAACGACTGGGCAATCGCACCCCCTACTAAAATTAATTAAATAAGGAAAACTAATTTTAAATTTTTAAAACTATATTTTTATTAAAAATGCAAATTTTTAAATAGTAAAATTGGTACAATGCATTTTTCGTGTGCGAACATTCAAGTTATTTCCCTCAGTAATGCAGGTACGCATGCAAATATGAGGCCAGTTTGGACAACCGACAGCGTCATCCATACGGTAAAATATTAGTATATTACTAGATTGATAATTTATTTTTAGAATTAACTGCATGTACACTTGTTATCGGTTGCTATAATACTATAATCGCTATTATTATTATTTCAAATTCTATTTTCTACTGAGACCTTTAAAATAATAATATGTGTATTGTTTTATTTTATTATATTTAAAGGCGCACCCCCACCGCCAGCACCCACGAACCACACTAATATTTACTAATATATAGTAAAACCATTAATGGCTTTGTTGTTTGTCATGCATCACTTGTACAAGTTTCAAATTTTAGGTACACGAATATCACGATAAGATATAACAGAAAATTACATTTTTCTATCATACGATGACAATAACATTAGATAATACTGTTATTAACTGAATAATTTTAAATTTTGGGCCATTTAATAAATTACGTTTCACTGCACTTATTATTACAAACATTTTAGTAACTTTTACTACCAAAGTATTACATACTTCAAGGACTTAATTTACATTAAGTACTTTATTTATAATTTTTTTTAAAATTTAAACTTTTTTGGTAATTATTAAGAAACAATTTCTAAATAATTAATAAAAATAAAAATGAGTGGTATAATCTAACAATTAAGTATTCAAGCTTTCTATTGGTATGTAAAATATTAGTGTTATTTGAACTTAAGTCGTGTAATGATAAATAGCAAAATAACATATATAAATGCTCGTAAATTATCTTCCACAGTTGCTAATGCTATACGATTTTATTAATACAAAAGTACTAATTATAGTATTTTCTGAGCTCAAAATATCGTTCATGTGCGGTCAAACATACCTAAAATTATGAGCCAGTCTAAAGATATTTAAATTGATATTTTGTCCTTCTTCGATTATCAGTGGAGTAAGTATCGGTATAATTATTATACTAAAACCATCCGACGCGTAAAGATAACAATATTAACAACGAATAATACATAATAATATACTACAAATGTTATTTATACAAATATTTTTCCAGAATAATCTCTAATGCAAATCCAATTATAAATCAAATGCGAAAAGCCCACTTAAGTTCACTGCTATCACCAGCGAAATTTACTCAAAGTAACTATCTGAAAATCAAAAATAGTACGAGGGTCTTCACCGTTTCAAGTTAACATCCAAATTTCTAATAAAAATCAGAAAGAAAACTAAAGGAAATCGACATTTATTACCTTATTCCTAAGATGGTTGACTTCTGAAAAGACAGTTGATGTAACCACGAGAGATGTTGGTAAAGTAGGCAAAAACAATTCGTATCTTATTAAGTAATATAAATAGGGAACCAGTCAGTACGTATAAGTCGGAAACACAATGTACACGGTGATGTCGAAAACGAACAGAACACTAATACTGCAAGCGACAGTCAACGGCTTAATTTAAGAATTTAAATACCGAGGCTTGGTGGACTTTGCACTACCTGTGCCGTAAGCGGGGATACTTAGTTATCTATCACTTGTTATAATGATAGGTGGATGGCTGATAAAGAGAGAGACTTGAGCGAGCGCTTGTTTAAAACGAGACACGGTACAGTTTTACATTCTAAATTAAGAGGACGCCATATGGTGAATAAAACGTTTTTAAACATGTTTTGCGAGGGACATTATTTGATTTGTATTGGTGCCCGGGTCCCAACATTTTTACCAAATTATAAAGGAGAAAATTATCTGCGATTTTGCGTTTTTATGTTTTCGTTAAAATCATTTCTAGTATTTTATATTCACAATAAAACATTCCTATTTTTTAGTTTTTTAAACGTTTGACCAATAACTTTAGAGTTGCGTTATCAAAATTATAAAAACATTAGATCGTAGATAATTTACTCCTTTATAATTTGTTGAAAAATCGGACATTTTCATCTCAATACAACTTGATAAAACAGTTTTCATGCAAAAAAAAAAATGAATTTTTGTCTGTGAACACGTTTTAGTCCTTAGTGAAGAAATTCCTGTTGAGCGGCGGTAACCGTTTACCCTCGCCTTTAAACTGCCCCTCATCGAAGATCAAAACCAGTTATTAGCTTCGATGCGAAGCTGATAAAGTATTAATTTTACCATGATGTGTTTTTTTTTTTAATGTCTGTTGTTCTCACTGTACCGATTTCTTTCAACAATACGTCAAAACATCACAAATCGTATCTAGTTGAAGACATTACCCTTAAAAATTAAAAAATTTTCCCTCGTTCCCCACAAATGGGGGAAATCTCCGAAAAAAATACAAATTTAAAAATCGGTAAATTTTGTAATTTTTTTCACTTTTGTTTCTTAAAACTTCCATAACTTTTTCAAATATTAACAAATCAAAATAATATTTTTTTATATTGAAACCTTAGGTAATTTCCTTTCATTTGATATCATTTTTTTTAAAAATCTAACACTTATTCTGCTCACGGGGGGATTTAAAATAGCAACTTTTTTACTAAAACTAACTTTTTCAACTTAACTTTTGAAAATGTTCTGGAAATACTGCATCCTTTAAACATATGTTAAATTGAAGCTTATGTCATGTACTATAAAATTAAAACAAAAAATTTGTCCCATCTATCTTCTAATACCTATCTTCTATGCGCAAATGGCTACCGTATTAAAAAATATGCTAATCCTGTATTAAAATTCTGGGTTTTTTAATATCAAATCAATTGATATTTATCTCATTTAGATTCAATAACTTCAATAAATATAAAGGATCCTATCACTATAGTGTCCCCTCGTGAGAAGAAATTCATATTCATGTTAATATTATTTTACTATGTGGTTCTTTTTGTGGCTACGATTTATTTTGCCAACTCTCACTAGACCTACTTTTTTCAACGATACGTCAAATGATTAATTTAAGTTAATGATATTAAAATTAATGATTAGTTTAAGTTATTACTCTTAAAAATCGAAAAAATATTCCTTATTCAAATAAAAAGTAGCTTAACCAGCTTTTTCCATACAAACAATTAAAATCATTAATTTCTAATATTCTTAAAGTATTTATTGTCAAATTAGATTTGTTATGATAAAAGTATTCAACTACAAAAGTAAATAATTTTACTTTGTAATTTATTCATTTTTTAACTCTATTTGTGTGTCCTACTACCAGTCTATAATATTCCAAATTTTTTTGTAACATGTTGCTATATAAATCATAAATTTAAAATAAAATGATTTTTAGTTTCACCTGAATTTAACGATGGATTTTTACAATTATAATCAAATTTTATAATAGGCTTAATTGAATAAATCTTTTTAACAACTTTTTTTTATTGGATTTTTTAGATATATAATCATTAAAATTAATTAAATTCTGAATATTTCCATTGTAGAATCTTTTTAAACACCAAAAGTTAATTAGAAATTATTACTATGATTTTTATTTAAGTGTTCTATTACGATAAAAATGCAAAAAAATAATGAGTTTTTCTGATAAATATACAGTAAATAGTAATTATAATATTATGTCAATATATATATATAATATATATTATATATATATGTGTGTGTGTCTGTGTGTGTCTTTACGTTGTTTATACCATATTTTTGTTTATTAATGTGTATTAATTAAAAAAGGGATGTGACGTTAATCTTTATAAATAAATAAATAAAAACCAACTGTTATTTTGTTCATATATACTTAATAAAATTTTAGCGTTTTAAAATGACATCGTTAAAAATACGATGTAAAATACCATTTTTTCTTTTCAAAAAATTATTGTTGGATTCACTAATAAACAAATAAAAAATTTACGCGTAATTTATTCAAACTTCTGTCATATTAAATGTCTATTCAACATTTTCTTATTAAACTGTGGGTTGAAATCTAGTTAGTAACTGCCCTCTAATTCAGTACTACATAAGTACGTTAATAGGTTATATTTTCAACAAGAGGCTATCACGATTGATAACAACTGGGAGTTTTACGTTTCGTCGGGGTACATACAATATATACTACATAGTCAAAAGTTTTTTACATATTCAGTAACAATACAAAGTAATTCCTTTGTTTAGTAAGTATAACTCTATGTTATTCAAATGAATTCATCGAGAAAATTTTTAATGTATCAAAATACGAGTCAATATTGATAAAAGTTAAAAATAATTTCTTGATAGATATTATTATTTCAATTGTGTATGATCTAATCATAAAATAAATCAGGGTTGTGTGGTGCAAGTTGATACTTAAGACGAGATATTTTATTCGATTTAAAAAAATATTGAAGTGTTTACGAATTTATTTGTAAATATTTTTATATACTATACACCAAACAATATATCAACTAAACAATGACGAATTTTTCTAAAATAATTTTAAATGAACACACATGTTTGTTTAAAATAGCACTTCTTAATTTTTGCAAAACAATGTAATGTTGTTGTTTTACGGCGTAAGGTTTTAAATTGAGCGTCAATAAACAAATATTTTATTGCAATAGATATATCAAAAATATTTGAAATTTTAAGTCTTAATAAAATTTGGGAAGTACTAAAGGTATTTTTTAACATATAAGATGTGAGACAAGTTGTTTTTTTCGTTATTTTTATAATAAATTTCTGTATATAGTTTCTTTATAACAGGATAACTAGCTCAGCTACAGAAAAAAATATTATTAATTATATCGATTTCCCTTTTTAAACATTTTCATATCCCAATTTTTTTAATTATTCGGCGAACTAAAAAATTGTATAATATATCCAAAATTTCTTAATAGTCCAAAAGTCCTTCTTAATTGAAAAATACATATGTAATACATTTTTTAAGTATAACCTTGAGACGGCCCCGCGTCGCTTCGTGATACACGATGCCCCGCGACTCGTGCCACCTTTATCAGCCGTTGTTCTACTATGAGTATTTGACTGACCGACACATTGTGTCATATGACACAGTGTAAAGTTTAGCAAGTGCCACACGACCGACGACGACCTGCCGCAAAAGATACGCTAAGTCTTCTTCCCGTTGTCAAAATGACAACTTTGAGGTTGTACTCCACCGGTTCGGGACGTGCCGCACTCGATGAACCAATCCGTACCTGCGCACTGTTGTCATCAACGATGCTAACTTTTTAACGTCGAAGATCATGCCCAATACCACCGCGTCGCCTATGCCAGCGAAAGTGCCGCGATATTAACTGTGTTCGTATTTTCGGTTTATTTGTTTTTTTTAATAACCTGTTGTTGCTTATTAATAAACGGCCCAAGGGTCTCTACCCTCAAAACTAGTGTCAACTTCAATTATTGCGATGTAAGTCGTGTCAACCTACATTCAACTAGGGTGTGTTAATTTGTTCCAGGCAAGATGGCAAATTTGATTTTTTTCTAATTAAAAATTAATTTTTGTTTTCTATAATATGGATTTTATACTGAGGGATGTTTATATGATAACATTATTCTTATCTACCCCGTTTTATACCAGAATTTAGTTGTTTTTAAGGTTTTTTATTCAAATACGCCTTTGGGGGGTTACATTTAGAGTTTTTAGAAATCGAAACTATTAAATATTATTTCGCTATGCGCAACGAATTAGACAATAACTCAAAAAAATCCATTTCGTAATTAGAAGGTATTTGAATTTAAGTTGAACTCTTCTTATAATAACTTCAAAATATCCTCAATTTCCATTGAATCGGAATTAAACAACTGAGAAAATTGATAAACACATAGCGTGAATCAATGAGTCATTTTTATTTTGATATACTAAAAAACGAAAAAATATGAGTTACTGCCTTATTCCTTGCGCGTATTGATTTAATCAAAAAACTAAAAATTCGTTCTCGAACAAATTTTTTAATACACGCAGTTGTTAATATGATAACTTTGTTAAAATATTAAACGTGATTTAAATACTTAGAATAATATAATACAAGCTGATTTGCTAATTATGTCTCATGATTTATCTTCAAAAATATCAGATCAAATATAATTTCTTAAAAAAATATATAACTTATAAGGGTATAATTTCTAGAAGTTATAATTATCCTGTTAGCTTTAAATAATACAAAAAATTATAGTTATATTCCCTCTTCTTTCTCGTTAAAATCGTATCAATTAAGTTTTTAAATAGTTATTTAAGTGTTTAACTGGCTAGCAAATAAGAAAATGATCTTATTTAGAAAGTTACTAGTCGATCTACTTTTGAACTAATATTTGAAATTTATTAACTCTTAAAAATAATCGATGGAGATGAAACGCGGGTCTGTTTATTTTTATCTCGAATCATTCCTAAACTGTTCTCCTCCTGCTATAATGTAAAGATAATCATTTTTTTAAATAACAGTTTAAAGTTGTTGTTAACTAGTCATATTTTTATTTTTAAGACAATTAAATATTTAACCATTCACAAAACGTAAGTTGTTACATTTTTAAGGAGAAGAATTACATTTTGATCAATCGGCCGAGAAGCAATAAAACTATTTTCTTTTGATTTGTTAATTAAAGTGTTTATTATACAAATAACTTCTGAAAAGAAAAAAAAATAATTTCTTATATTTTTAAGAGTATGCTTGAGACATATTAAGTATACTTGTTTACTAATAAAAATTAAAAAATAATTTGCGTTTTAAAATTATTTAAAGCATATTTTTTTTATATAAGAAAGCTGTTTAAATACTATATAAAAAATTGTTTACAGATATCCTATATAATTAGTATTAGAGTAGACGCAGCAACATTTTTGAGTTACCATACACTGATTAAGTGCCTCAAATAAATTTTTCGTAAAATTACAAGTAAGAATTTATGTACATAAATATAATGAATTGATAGATAATTAAAGAAACTTAATCGCTATGTTTTATGTTGCTAATTTTGTTATACTTACACTGATTGGATTTGTAAACTTGCCAAACAAAACTGTAGCTATAACTTATTCAAAAAACAATGTTCCATTTAACAATAAAATACAGATGGAAATTCTTGAAAAAAAATTAAAACATTTGGAAAATATTTCTCAAGTAGATAAAAGAGTAATAGGTAAGATTAAGACGTTTGAAGATAAAAAGATTAATAATTTATTTATTACAGTAAATTATCATTTGATTACGCTCAGATGTATGTACACATTTAATATATATCATCATATGATCTTAACTCAATATCTTGTAAAAGATAATAATTATAAGAAAATAGACGAAAGACATCTTTTTGAAATAATCACACAAAACAAAGAAATTATACGCAATATGTTATCAACGTCTATTAGTATGGGTGTTAAGGAAATTGAAGCTTTATGGTTAATTTATATTTATATGGAAAAATCAAATACCAACATTAAATATATTATTCAGAATCACGAATTTCTAGTGAAATATTTAGCTGATCATACAGGCTGTCATTATTGTCAAGATCAAAAAAAATATAATTTTAATTTTGTAAATACAAACTTAAAAGAATGTAACCAACAAGAACCATTTAATTTATGTATTGAAAAAGTTAAATCTTTAGTTAAGGAAAATACTGACACTATTAATACATTTATGAAAAAAAATGCTGAACATGGTATCACAACAAATAATTTAGATTTGATTGATAGTAAGCATTTATATATACATGACGTGTTCATTTTTGATCAATTTAATAAATTTTCTAAAGATCTGAAGACTTATTTTCAAATAGGAGTGAATTGGAAAAGTGTTATACCTGTATATAAAGAATATAATTTATCATTACATTATCCTGAAGGCTTTACAAATTTTACTAACAATATGAAAATATATCAAAGTGGTTTATTAAATTTCATAAAATTATTTGTTATTAGAGCATTACATGTACATCTCAGATTTCCAGACGAAAAAATAAATCAGTATACTGACAAAATAATCAATATAGTACAAAAATTTAAAACTTTTTTAGCTTTACCAGATAAAGATCACTTACATTTAATTTCAAATTTGTATTATTCACAAGAAAAAAAATCATTAAAAGACTTAGTTGTTAAGTGCGAAAAAGATATAGTAAAAGATATATGTGCTAATTCAAATTTAGAACCTTGGTATGTGGTGAACCCTGACGGTTTTATAATGAATCCAGAAAGTATATCACTGCATTTGGACAAAAAACTAGACAAGTCACTCGAAAATTTGGTAATAAAATATGATATCTTATACGATGATTTTCAATCAGATGACAAATTAATTTTAATAAATGTAAAGCTTCTGAAAGTGTTCTGTGAATACATAATTGAAAAAAGTGATATCAAAGACATAAATTTTAATATAGTCAATTCTTTTTTGTATACTAACAGCCAAGGTGGCCAAAAAACAATTATAACTAAAATAAAAGATATCTTTAATAAAAACGTTTAAAATACGATTTAAACACTTTTTTTATTATATTTTTAATTTGTAAATATTCAAATTTAAAATATATTTTATTTTTTATAAAAAATAATATTAAACATTGTGTATTAAAGTAGTAATAATATTATGTATTTGTAAGACAAAAAATATATAAAGTATTAAAATTTTTTTTGAAATAATAAATACAATAAATATATTCAACCACTTATAAATCAAAAATAAATAAACTATTCAACAAGCCAAAATATGTGTTTATGTCATTATTTAAAGAGAATTATTAAAGAATTATAATAATATTAAGATAACAAAAACAAAAATAGTTGTTAAAGATTCCAAAAATAGCATTATCATAATATGTTATTTTATCTTAAGGGTCTATAGATTACTATTCTTTTATGACTATTGACATAATATAAAATTACTATTTGATTAATATGATTTTTATTACTTAGCACTATTTGAAATGTACAGTTATAGGTCTATCAATGTAATTTATAATAATAAAATAAACTTTTTTTTTTTGAAAAAGTTGTCATATTAAATCCCTCTATGTGGATAGGTAAAGGGTCAGATTTATAAAAAAAATGCATCAAATAATAGGTAAAGACATTATGCATCTATTAAAAAAAAATTATACTGATTTGTTCATTTTTAAAAAAGTTATGGCAATTTTAAGTAAAAAAAATTGAAAAAATTCCAAAAATAATCGATTTTTAAAATTGTAATTTTTTTGGAGATTTCCTCTATTTACGGAGAACGAAGGAAATTCTTTCAATTTTTGAGAGTAATGTCTTCGACTAGATACGATTTGTGATCTTTTGACGTATCATTGAAAGAAATCGGTTCGGTGAGAGCTGAGAAAAAGTGGTAACAGAAACAAAAAAACACATAGTAAAAGCAATACCTTCTCAGCTTCACATCAATGCTAAAAGTTATAGAGAAAAAGTTTATATTTATTTTTTAAAACTACCGTAAAACTAAACCTTAATGAAAATATATATATATATATATATCATATAGACTGTGATTCAACTTCACAAAACCATACCAAAATACATAGGTAAAACGAGATGGAATAAGACATTTTTTGCATAAATCATCATAAAAATACTATTAATTAATATGATCATAGGATATTGAAAAAAAGTCATGAAAAGATTACTTAAAACTAATATATTAGTTATAAGTATGTAACTTTTTCCATAAAAATTTTCTACGCTTGAATGAAAAATATTCTTTTATAAAACAACTTTTCGCGCTGTTTTCAAATTTGCAATTAGACTATTTCTAATTTTTGATATTATAACTTATTAGTAAAAAATAAGTATTTACAAAAAAAAATTGTTTTCAAATTTTACTTATTTTGATTTTTAATATTTTAAAAATAATCAGTACAAAATGTCACTTTTAACCAACTTTTTGGTACTTAAAATTTGTTTTTTTATGTAAGTTTATAATAAAAAAAAGTTGAATTTATTTCCATAACTTTTTGTTTAACTTGCAAGTTTCAAATTGACATCATTAAATAGAAACTTTGATGAGAATTAAAAAAATTGTTAAGATTAATATGCAGTCAGGAAATTTTATAATAACTATAGTAAATTTATCATAAAAGGTCAATATTTTTTTGCATTTTTATCATAAAAAATAACTTAAATAGAAATAACAGTAATCAATTCCTAGTCAAGTAGAACTTGATTCGTCAATAAATACTTTGAAAACATTAGAAATGAATGATTTTAATTGTCTGTATGGAGAACATGGAATAAGTAACTGTTTAATTGAAAAATTAGAATTGTTTTCAATTTTTGAGGGTAATATCTTCAACTAAATACGAATTGTAATCATTTGACGTATCGTTGAAAAATGTAGGTCAAATTAGAGCAGAAAAAATAAATGATAGTCACAAAAAAATACCTTCTCGGCTTTGCATTGAAGCTAAAACTTAAAATAATTTTAATATGAATAAGAAATATCTTCTCACGAGGGACGACTACATTGAAGTTATTTAATTTAAATGATATTAAAATCAAAAGAGTTGAAAATTCATTCTAACTTAAAAAGAATTAAGAAAAAAATGCAAAAAAACTCCATACAATACGCGGGTAGGAACCTTGTACCTTAAGCGCGTAAGACATAAGTGATATTTACTAGGCAACCGTATGTCGCTTCCGTCAACTGAAACAATGGCAATTTAAGCTAATTCAAATTCCAAAGCTATTTTTTTGGACTTAAAGAAAGCAAAAAAATTAAAATAAGTTTTTATGCTATATCAATTTGATTTATATAATATTTATGAATATCAGTGTGTTCCACTTGTCAGGTATTTTAAAATAAAATAAAATACAAAACCCAAAATTTTAACACAAAAACCCAGAGGTCAAATGTTTTTATTTTTAAAGTATATTACTGTAGCTTTAATTTAAGATATAAATAAAAGTGTCAGTCTTTCCAACATTTTCAAAAGTTATATTGAAAATTAAAAAGTTAATTTTTTATGAAAAAGTTGCCATATTGAACCCTCTCTATGAGTAGGTAAAGGTCAAATATTCAAAAAATATTTCAAATAATAGTGAAATACCTTAGGTATCTATAAAAAAAAAATTTTATTGATTTGTTCATTTTTAAAAAAGTTATGGCAGTTTAAAAAAAAAAAAAATTGAAAAAATGTCAAAAATTACCGATTTTTAAAACTATAATTTTTTTGGGAATTTTGCCCATTTATGGGGAACGAGGTCATTTTTTCTATTTTTGAGTGTAATATCTTCGACTTGGTACAATTTGTGATCTTTTGGCGTTTTGTTCATCAAAATTGGTCATGTGAGAATGAGATTGAGTGGTTTCAGACATAGAAAAAAAACATCATAGTAAAATTAATACCTTCCTATCTTCGCATCGAAGCTAAAAATACATGCATTCTGAAATTCTCAATAGGCAAATAATAATACTTAGACGATTATTTTGATAAATGATAGATAGAGCAGAAATGTACTTGATCATAGACTTATGTTGGTTCAATGAACTTATGTTATAAAATAGTATAATTTCTATGTTATTTATTAATAATGAAAACTTAATAGTCAGTATTTCAAATTTTTTCCTATTATAACATATTAGGTGATCCTAATGGCAAATGATAGTAACATGTTAAGGGTTTTTCAGTGGTCAATTGAAATAAATTCTAACGATTTTTTTTATATCCTATATTTATCTGTTTAAAGCATAAATAGATAGTTAAAAATGTACCATAAAACAAATGTACATTTTGACATTTTTGCTATTTTAAACACTGCATATTTAAAATGTAACAACTTTGTTTCAAGCCAAATTTCGGAATATTTTTTGATTTTGTAAAACAATGCCTAACTTATCATTTGGGTTATTGTGGTGTTGCCAACGTTATAAAATAACTATTTGCCAACTACGAGATAACATGGTATAATATTTCTATAACATACGATAGTATATTGTGCCGAGTTTATCGAAACTCAGTGTTATGATACTGGTCTCGCTGATCGGTGGCTAGTAAGTGATTATTTATTATTAAGATTTTTTTTTATGTTTTATGTTTTGTAAAATATAATTTATTTTAAAACCTAGTCAAAACCGAGCTTTACATAAAACTTTTTTTTCTTGTTATAAATAATATTATGTTTTAATTTTGTTCGCTCTTATATCAATAATCGTATCATAATGGATAGTTCTGAATACGAATCGGTAAGAAATCAAACACTTTTGTTTTTTTTTGAAAAACTATTAGACAAAGGAACTCCGAGATCATTACATGATCTTAGCTGCCAGTTTGGTTCTAAAGGCTTCACTAAAGAAATGCGTCAAATAGCTGGTGGCTCACAATCTGGACTAAAGAAATTTCTATCCCAACATCCTTCATTATTTACACTAGATGGTGATTTAGTAGCTGCATCTCAAATCGTTGCACCAATTCAAACTGATTCTAACTATAATCACAAAGCTGTTGATTATTTTAGAGATAAATTACAAAAATATGGAGTTGGAACGGAAGTACCTATTCGATGTCTTCTTGGTCACCGTTCTCAAGCCCCTCCAGAAATTCGTCTAATATCTGGACTTCATATAAAAGAATTTAGAGATTTTTTGTTAAGGTACCCTGATGTGTTTACTGTAGGTGATGATAGTGTTATTCTTACAGAATATGCTGGTTTAGAACGAAAAATGTATGATGATAGTGACAAACAAGAAATTAAATTTGATCCAGAAATTACTAAACGCTTATTAACATTTTGTGTTCAATGCTTGGAGTGCAAGGGGCCTATGCTTACTGATCAACTATTTCATAGCATCTCATTACGCTTCACAGAAAATACATGGTCACCAATTTTCAAAACTCCTACAGATTTATTTACATTTTTAAAAATGAACCCAGAACAATTCAACACACAATCTAACTTGATCACTCTAGTAAAAAATATTCCTAAGCCTGAACCAAAAATAACTCGAACTCCTATTGAAGTGGTACCCTTAACTCCACCTATGTCACCACCTTTACAAAAACCAATAAAAAATCAGTCACTTAAACAACGTATCAACAGTTTAGTAATGAAAACAATTGCTGAAAACACTGAACGTAATAATAAAACACCTAATTGTCAAGATGATGGTGATGCTTGGAAAAACAAGATGGTTAATAATGTAAAAGCAATTGTGACGAGCATTAAAGAATGTTCCAATATAGTAGAGAAAATAGTTACAAAAAAATCACCTATTGGTATAGATTTTGAAGGTGTTTGTATTGGAGCTAATGGCCAACTTAGTTTAATGCAGATAGTCAATGATGTTGGTGAATGTTATATATTTGATTTAATAGCATGCCCACAGCTTGTTAAAAATGGTGGACTGCAAAGTTTACTTGAAAATTTAGATGTATTAAAAGTAAGTTAAATTTTTGTCTTTTAATATATTTTATTTAAGTTGATTTATAATTAATAGATAAATTAACATATAGAATACTTTATGGGATAAAATATTCTCTCAAATAATGTAATCATATAATTTTTAGCTTTCGGTTTTTATAATTTTGGTCAGTCTCATATTTAGAGTGGTATACAGGATTATCATTTTATCATGAACAACTTAATTTAATTAAAAAATGAAAATTACATTGATGATTTTTTTTATTGGTTTCTTTTAGTTACATATTTTTCCCAAATTATCAATTATTAAGTATTTATTACGTTCATTTATTATACTTCATAAGAGTATCAAGGTTATTTATTAAATCACAATCTAATTAAGAAAAGGACTGTTTAATAAAACATATTTTGGATCAACATTTTGATAGTTATTAACATTAACTTCTAAGCAAAAAGCCTCTTCCATCCAACCCAACCAAAAACCTCTTCCTTTGTGGGAGGTCGCTATGGCTCTTAATGAGCTTAAAAAATAAATACATTTTCAGGAGACCAAAAACAAGATATTTTTACACAATGGAAAATTTGATTATTCAAATTCAATTCACGATAAAATAATACCTAAATTATCCTTGAAACAAAATGTATACCCAAAAATACAGTGAAATTTTTCTAATAAATAGATAAATAACTTAAAAATGACAGAATTTGACTTAACTACCTTCTTACAAAAACCATTAATATGAATTTTTTTTTTTCAATACAAAAAATTAGCTATTTGCTAGTTAAATTAAAGAACAGAATTATTTGCATTTATAAATTTTGTTTAAACTATTTTGAGAAACTAAGTTCATGCAAATATTGAGTAAGTATAGAGCAGAAAAATAACTCTAACCAATTTATAATACATTACTTAATTTTTAGTAAAATTAATAAACATTACTGACTGGAGATGTGTCCATTGTAAATTAGCAAAACTTATGAAAGTAATACCTTTTTATGTGTCATATTTAGGAGGGCTAATTTCTTATAAATTAATGAAAATATAATGTTATATAACATAAAAAATATTTTACTTATAGTGTAGTAATTAAACTAGTATTGGTTATTATTTTAAATTATAATTAATTATTTTACACAAAGTTATAAATTATTTAAGTTTAAAATTTGAATATTAATACACTTATAAATGTAGAAATAATATTTTTTACTTCTTTAGTCAAAGCCATTTATCATAATTAAACTTTTAAATATTTATAGAATACTCGTAGTTAATATAAATTGTACATTTTAAAAATTATTTAATCATAAACAAAACTAAAAGAAAAAATAAATAAAAGGTAATTACTTATTAATAATAGCGTTATAAGTAAATGATATTTGATATTTTTATATAATTTATTATTCTATATATATATATCAAAATATGAAAGAAACTTGCATATTTTATTTAACTACTATTGCATAATAGTTGACTTGAAATTAATATAAATGCTAAAAACAAATTAAAACTTTGGAATTTTGATCCTCAAAAAAACTTTTTTTCGAAATGGGGCCCTCTTACACTCAAACTGTGATATGTTAAAGAATAAATGTTTACATAAAATTCATGAACATATTTTTTCACAAGTAATAATAGGAAAGTATTATGTTTACTAAAAACAGCCGACGAAACAAAGTTTTTTACCCATAAAGAAAATTTAAGTTACATTTGAATTATTACTTAGAATTATTTTAATGACAAATCTATAAGATTTGTTAAATATTTTAATCATTCGATTAATAATTTTCTTTTAATAATCAATTCCTAATTATAAATTTTGATGTTATTTAAATTAAAAATAGTTTATAGTCAAAAAAATTACTTTTCTCATATTGTTTAAATTACATTTATTAATGCTTTGTGTTTAATTTCTTCTAATTATACTATCGACCATTATTTCAATCACATGCAGCATAATATTTTAGTGGCCTACGGAGGTAAAGCGAATTTACTTATAAGGTTCTGCGGACAACAGCTGATAGGGAAAGGAAATGCGGAATAGATACGAATGAATGTACGGATATTACGAAAGAACTGTTAGACGCTTTAGGAATGGGTGTGCCACGTGTTGGTTGTATGGAAGTCGTTTGGTTATTCGATTGAATATATGAAGTATTAATATTATGAGTAGTGAGCAAAGTAACTGTGCAAGTCTGTGACGGTTTCGTCGTTCGAGGTCATTGACGACCGACAGGCGTAAACTGCATTCTCTGAACATCTGATACATAATTGTTATCACCCAAATGAAAACAATTGAAAAGATTACAAAAACACCAGGCAAACATTTTTAATGTTAGTCGAGTATATCACGCTCATAAAATTAACCCATTGTATGTGTTGACTGTATTATGTGCATATTATGTTTGCAAAAGAGATATTCACACCAACGCAGCCTTTTGTTTTACTTACCAGCTGATAGTAATGATATCATTAAAATAAGAAACTGAAAGTTTAGGCAATAATTAAGTAATAAATTAATAATTCACCATTTTACATTTATAATGGTTAAGTCATTTTTATAAAATCAATACATGTATATTCGATAATTACATTGATGATTACATTCGAATCTATAAATAATTAAAAATACTTGTATATTTTTCCGAAAAATACTCTAGAAAAAAAAGTGTTGGACTATTTTAATGCTTTTAATGATACTGAAGCAACAACTAGAAACTTTATTTTATTATTATTATTTTGAGTAAAGCTATTTCCGTATTTTGTCCACCCTTTTCTTTTATTTTTAACACGTACAGTTAAACATCAACGTACATATTTGAAATTCTTGATTACTTTTATACATTAGACTGTAGACACGTAGAATCATTGCCCCTTGGTGTTTATGTCGAACGACTGGTGTAAAGGAAAAAATGTGTTCGCTTTAAAAATGTATGTGGTATGTTAATGTAAGTTTAATTACCAAAAAAAACATTAAAATGTTCTCGTTATTAAAAGAAATACTTAAATAAGAAATTTACATATCAATTTAAAAAAGGATTATTTCTTTAACATTACGAACATAGCAACGAGCTATGTTCTTTAAACTCAGTTAATTCATTACTTACATTTATTTGTTGTGCTAAACATTATGAGTTATTAATAATGCTATCGATGTTAAATAATACCAAATTTTAGAATTTTATGCCAAAAGATAAAATTAGATATATTTTAACTGTTTTTATACCCTTAAAAATTTTAGACTATCAGGTTGTAATTAAAAGAGACTTAATTATTACTAAAAAAAAAATTAATACTCTTAAAATATGTCTTAAAATTTGATGCATGTCTAATTATGTGTCTATTCTTTTCTAAATATTTCAAATGTTTTATAATTATTATTAATAAATTAGTAAAATAACCATATGCTTATAGTTACGATTAATTATATACCTCTAATTACCCACACAACTTGTCCGCCTTTTTTCCAAATTATAATAAAGATTTACTAACATAAAAAATTACTGACGCCTATATTTCTGTAATTATGACGTAATTTATTAAAGTGCTATTTTTCAAGTATTAAGTATGAATTTATTATTTTTTAAAATAATTATTCGCTTAAATAGGATGCCATTATACTGTTATAACTGATAATATCTATTTATCTACAATTTTAAAGTATAAATTACTAAAATGTATAAAAAAATTACTATATAATATATAGTAATTTTTTTATACATTATATATATTATATATATTTTACTATATGATAATATCAATATGGACATCTTATAGGTATATTAATATCGTGTGTTAAATTATTATTTATAAGCTTTTATCAACAGGATTATCAGGAAGGCTTAAAATTTGTAAGACAAATTATAATTATTCTATTGATAATAATTTAACACTTAAATATTCAATTATTGCATACAATTAAGCTCAATGGCAAATAGTGCGTCAGATGTTTTAAGATAAAACTAAAATGGTAACAATTATTATGCGTAATGTAACTAACTTGGTGAAATAATAGCGCGACTAGGTCGTTGTTTCATAAATGTCGCATAATCTATTAAGTTTTCATATCTAACAACAAACCAAGAAAACTTCATAAAGAGTTTTAGGTCATGTCGAATATTTAAAGTTATTTTACAAAACCTATGAACATATAACATATTGTTGGACTAAGTCTAGTATAAATTAAAAAATTAATAACAATATTGAATGTTATATCTTAAATGTAGTATTGTATTACACGAGCAAGTTGTAAAAGAATATATCTATCAAATACTTTTTTTTAAACATTTTTTCCCATTAATTTGGATTTTATATATTGCCAATATTAAATAATAATAATTGTTTAAATCAATGGTCTTATTTATTTGTCTCTAAAAATATATCACTTCTATCAAATTTAACATGTACTATAACCTAATTATGTTATTAATTTTTTGAGGAAATTCTAATAATCATTTTTTGCAGGTAATTAACGATTGTCGAAACGAAAGTTTAAATCTGTACAACCAGTTTGGAATCACTATGAAAAACGTGTTCGACACTCAGGTATAATAATCTTAGCCATATAGTTTCATATTATTCTTTTATTTATACTACATCAAGCTAAATCCAAAACTGATTCACAAAGTAAAACTATTACTTGTAAGGTTTTTGTTGTAAATATAGCATTCTAAATATTGCTTAAACTTTAGGTTTTTTCTTGCATGACTATAAATACTGTAAAATGTATTTTAGTAAGCTTTAATTCTACTGCAATCACGAATGTTCGTGCCGAAAATATATTTGTAAAATATATTGAATCGCATTGATACTGACTTTTTACATTATCACAATTATTAAATTCACAAATATTTCTTTAATTATTAGTATTATAATTTTAGCTTCGATGCAAAGCTGAGAAGGTATTAATTTTACTATGATGTTTTTTTTTATTTTATTTATTTTTTTTTTATATCTGTTACCACTTTTTCTCAGCTCTTACCAAACCAATTTCTTTCAAAGATACGTCAAAAGATCAAAAATTGTATCTAGTCGAAGACATTACCCTCAAAAATTGAAGAAATTTCCTTCGTTCCCCGTAAATGAGGAAATCTCCAAAAAAATTACAATTTTAAAAATCGCTAATTTTTGACATTTTTTCAATTTTTTTTACTTAAAACTGCAATAACTTTTTTAAAATGACCGAATCAATATAATTTTTCTTTTTATAGATATATGAGGTATTTACCTATCATATTAATAACAATTTTTTTTGGTGTTAACTATTGATTTATAAAAAAAAAATATTCATATAAATGTTGGTATTTTCGTTTTCAATTAAATAGGTAATTGTTATTTTTATTGTTTTTATAGGCCGCCATAGCAGTAATCCAATATCAAGAAACTGGTCAACCTGTTTACAAAGCAAAAAATTGTAGTCTTAATGCTATGTGTGAAAAATATGGATTGCCATCAAACCCTACCAAAGATCAGTTGAGGGCTCTTAATAAAAAAGATCAAAGATATTGGCTCCGTAGACCATTATCAAGGGATATGTTGGCCTTTGCTGCTAGTGATGTAGTTACCTTTATGCCTAATTTGTATAATGCTATGTCTACGTAAGTACCTTGACAATTTTTACAGCAACTATATTTTTTTAAATAAGAGTATTTAAAATTTATTTTATCATTGTAATATGATCATTAAGCTTTTGCTTGTTGGTGTATTTTAAATAATAAGATTATATTTGTACATTCATTAATAAGTACATGGGATATAATAATAATAAACTTAAGTTCTTTTTGAAGTAGTTAATTAGAAGTATTAACATTATTGAATAATAAAGTAAATCTAATTAGAAAAATTGAAAATCTCTATTAAAATTTTACATAGTAATTATGATATTAGAATACTCCTTAACTGACTTAGTTTATTGAGTTATTTCCCATATTACCTTTCTTATTGTAAAACTTGTGATATAATATACCAAAACTTTTAACTACAGTAGTTATTAGGAATTTTTATATTTAAGATAATTGTTGATATTCAAGGGACAAAAAGAATTTTTATTTTTTAAATAACTTAAAAAATTATATAATAATTGAATAGAAAAATTGTATTAAAAATAATATTTTTATTATTATATGTTTCCTAGAAAAACACATTTAAAATTATCAATTTATATGTTAGATTAGATGTATACTACAGTGTTTTATATACTTAATGGTAAAAATTTGTAATTTCCAGTCAAATTCATCCATTTAACCAAAAATTATTAGAAGAACTATGTGAAGAACAAGTTTATTTACTTATTGTACCAGATAATGTTCAAAAACGCAAACACCAGCGAAAAATTGAAAATGAGTTGCACGCTTTAAAGGAAAAACTTTCTTCTGATAATGGGAAAAGTGTTGTTCTCAGCAATAGAGAATTAAGATTACTCAGGTATTTTATTTAAATTTTCTATTAGTTAGTATGAGTTCGTTTTATAATTCATGTGTACATTACAGACACTTGGAACTAACTGATGAAGATAAAGAAAAATTAAAAGGTTCTTTGAAGGTTGCTAAAAAATTAGAAAAAATGGAAGGAAAGAATAGGTGAACTACCCTTATTTCAATTTTGTTAACTATCTTAAAATAAACTCATATTTTTCAATTTTTTTAAATAGTAAAATTAGTGGTGAAGATTGTGATTCTAATGAATTCCTCAGTTTAGACAGTAACTTTAGTGGTAAATCTACATCATCAGATAACTCTGCTTCTGGTGGTTAGTAGTTTAAAAAAATAATTTTAATAATTTAATAAAAAAAAATTATGAATGATCAAATTTAAAAATAGGTGAATTCCAATCATTAGTATCAGAGCAACCCAGTTTAACTGAATCAATGCAAATGATGGACGATGTGTTATCTGATAAGTTAATGGATCGTTTAGAAAAAATTGAACGATTAGAATCACTTTTAACTATGGCTATGGATGCTGAACCTGATCAATCAGATAGTCTTGATATTTCACCTATGGGCTGTAATTGTTCGTGTCACCTTTTTGTTACAGAAACTGTTGATATGTCTACACAAACTGAAACTTTGTAGACTTTCTTATAGTTCAAATGGGAAATATTTGGGATACAAATTTGTGTTACTTTGAATTATCAGAAACATGAGCTGATATTTTCAGTTGTATTGGCCCAGTATTACTTTGCATTGATTGATAAACAATATTAGCAATACACTGGGTCTGAGTATGTAAATAATATCTTAAAGAAAATTTTTAACAGGGTTGAGTATGTACAATATCCGTCCATTATTTTATTGTACCTGCTATATAATCAGTATAGCAGTTATAAATAATAAGCAATATTTTACAACAATAATGAATCCGCTGTGCGGTAAGACATTTTAGACTGAAAATTTTAATATTATTAGTTATTGTATAGTATCACGTGCCTTTATAGAATATAAGAAGTTTGTTTTGATTATTTTACTCTAGTGAATTTGTTTGCTCAAACAGTATTACATTTATAAATTGTTAGTTAAATGTACCTATAATAATTCAATGTCTTATTAACATAAATTATTGCCTACTAGTCGTTAACACAGTTTATTTGTCTTCCCAGTTTAAAACTTAATTATTTTAACTACTTTAAGTACACTGTTGACAGTAATATTATGTACACATATCTGCAGTATTTATTTTATTTAAAACGTTGTTATATTATTATTTCTGAAATTTGACCAGTAATTATATTTATAATATGTGATTTATTTGATGTATTTATTTAACATATTATGTTATTTATTTACTTACTAAATTGAATTATAGAATATGTAATATAATTATTTTATGGAACTAATTTTTTTAGTTTTAAAAATCTGTCCCAAACTTTTGACGAATCCTTTATATAAAATCCTTTTGTAAACTTATTGAATAAAAAGTTGCAAAAATAATAGTTCGACATTAATAGTGCGATACCATAAAATTATTTCTATTTTGCGCGTCAACAATAATTAACACTTAAAGATGTCGAAAGTACAAACATCAATTCCCCATTCTTAATTTTATTTTTCTGTGGTTTGTTATTTTCATTCTGTATTTATCACTAATTTTCCATTACAAATCTCTTAAGTTGACATCAAATGTCAAACATGAACCACCCACGCATTGTTATAATGGCGTGTTATATTTTTCTTGTTAACTAATGTGCTCAAAAATAATGTTTGTCATTTATCCTGAACGTTTTTGTTGTCATATCAATCAATACGATTTGTACACATAGATGATCAAGTACTTAAAATAATTCGTTTTTATAACAGCTAACGTATAGACATGTTATAGGATTACCAGTTTATAAGAACACAAACATTATTTCATACTAACTAAATGATTTTATGAAATAAATATCGGAGAAATACAAACAGATAAAGTAAAAATTAAAAACTTTTTTATTAGTTTACTTTTTAAAAAACAAATTAACAAGATATTTAATAGATAAAAGTAAAATTAACTTAATTACAATTTAACAATACAAATAGATAATTGTTCGTAACTACATCAATAACATAACAACTAAATATTACAAATCATACCTATATTTTTTTCATTATAAATAAAAAAATCATGCAATAAATAACAGTAATCAGAGTCGTTTTAATAATATTTCATAAAGTGATATTTGTATCTTCCAAATGAGTTGAACCGTTTCCACTATCATCCGAGTCCTGTTTGTTATGATCGTTTCTTTCGCGAACTTTTAAACCTAATCCTTCTCTAAATTGTCGTCCAATGCTTCTGGCAGTCAAACTGTGTACCTAAATAATTATTAAGTTTATTAAATACACGGTATTTAAAATTATGAATTTACTATTGTGTTTCTAAAACAGCAAAATGCATTTAATTTATGTGAAGTATTAAAAAAATATAAATCTAAAATTGGGATAGCATCATAATAATAAATAATAAATAGGATATCGCTACATCATAGGCACAACTAGGGATGGTGCTTAGATCCTCAAACTTTTTTTTTTGAAAATTGTATATATGTATTAATACATATATAAAATTTTGTGGTAAGGAAATAATTTATTTAGCACCCCCAAAAATTGTATTTTAGTTGTGCCTGTGTACTATGTTCAAATAAAGTAAATCAATAGACAATAACTATTGAAATCCTAAAATAAATTTTTCATATACTTTTTATCAATGGGTATTAAAAATAAAACTAGCTTAGTAAATATGTAAATTTTAATATAACATACCAAGTTTCACAAGGCCTCAATTATACATCTTTTATAATAATGCGAAATGTTTATAAAAATAAAAAAGTAACTTTAATAATTTTATAAAATATTTATATTTATTTATAATACTTAAAACATCCATGTATATATAATTTATAACATTACGGCGTAATATATAAAATTATTTAAGTTAAATTCCAATATTTTTAATTAATTTTTGTTTGACTGCAAATTTTTAATCTACTCACTTGTTTAAATGAAGATGTACTTTTGTTCTCAGCTATCTAAAAATATTAATGCATATTTAATTAGATGTTTTAATTATTAATACAAAAATTAAGTTAATCTAACACATACATTAGATGAAAAATGTTTAGCTAATTCCTTAACGGATGGCATGTGGATCCCATTTTCACCGCTAGTTTCTTTTGCTGGACTTTGTAATGGGCTAGTTTGTCTATCCGACCAAGAGCATACCTTAACCACTTCTTGACACCTTTCATTGTTTAGAATCGCTTGCTGTTTTCGTTGTTGATCGTTGTCTTCGAGATGGACAACCAATTTCGACACTTTAGTCTACAGGTACATACAACGTAGACATTTCGATGATAATTTATAAAAACTTAATATTTTATTCCAAGTTATTTCGCAAGAAAATTTATTAAACGAATTAAAAACATGTAAAATTGGTGCTATTTGAAACTAAATCGCTAACGGGACACATTAAAGGAGTCAGATGATATATATGCAGTAATTTACTAAACTTACTATCTCCCATTTTTTCGTTAAATAATGATTTTTACATAAAAATATATAAATAAAAATTCAATTAATTTTCATAAACCATTGTAAATATCAAGTTTATTGTAAAAAAAAATTATTTTTAAGAGTAGATTTTAACTTTAAAACTTAAATGAGAACTTATTATTATTATTTTACTATTAAATGGATATAACTAAATTTAACTAGTATTGTATTATTACTTTTTAATTTTTTATCATTTTTAGTTAAACGAGTTAAGATTAGCGAGAGGAGTGCATAACATAAAAAATTTCTTTTTCATAATAGAAATAGAGCTTGCTATACCCATCTCTTCATTTATTTTAAATCTTTAGTTGCTAATTTCTCAAAAAATAATGATACAAAACTGGTTAACGACTAATCGACATTTTATTTAGAACATTATAAGTTTTGGATTCTACATTTTAGTATTAATTATGTTGTAAACTCTTATAACTTAAAAATAATGATATATAAGATCTAATGAAACCATATTTTTCAGCGTCAAAAATCATGTAGGGATGTGCCAAATCATTTATTTTTAAATTAAATATGATTTTTATAGAAATATTATGATAATATCAAAATGTTGAACATTTTACAATTTTTTTACTTTTAAAAGAAATTTTTTCAGTTCAAGTTAGAAATATAAAAATTACATTTCAGAATCAATCTGATAATTCTAAGGTCAGGTATAAAATCTGCTACGAAATTCCATTCAGAATCTTTTTGATACTTGGCATAGAATTTTTTTTATTTTTTGTTGTGCAATGTTATAATTATGTTATATGTCCAAATTTAACTCAATTTCATAATCAAAGTTGGTTTAAAGAAATATAAAGATTGTGTTAATTGTTATTATAAAGAACAAGACTGTAGAATAATAATATAAAACTAAAATTATTTGTGGGTATAATTATATAATATTTTATTATAAATAATAAAACAATGGTAACTTAATTTTTTCTTAATTCATAATAAAGTATATCTAAAATTTATATCTCTGAAAAGAACCCAATTATTGACAATGCAAAAAAATTTAGAACAATTTTAACAATTTTTGATTTGGTGATCACCCAACCGTAACTTCTACATCAAAATCTTCAAGAAATATAGGGTTTTTAACAAAATTTTTAGTGGATTTTCGAGACTTAAATGTAAATCTGGGTAAAGTACCGTAAAGTATATTTTTTTCCAAAACACCAAGGTCATAATCACTAACCTGTTTTGCATTTGAGGTGTTATTTTCTGAACTATTTATATAATAATCTCGGCCATAACTATTAAAAAATATACAAATGAATATTAATTGAAATCACACTGTTCTTATGATTATAAGTTTCTTACCGCTCGCTGTCTGGTAACTTAGGACTACAAACAATTTTCAGTGGTTTAGGCGAATCGTTTGAATTCGACAAATCTCTAAAGATAAACATTACATTTTTATAGAAAATATACTATAGATAAAAAAAAAATTTAAAAAAAACTTACAAAGATGAGTCGCTACTACTCATACTTCCAAATTTGGATTTATATTTTCTCTTTTCAATATTTTCAGCAGAATACGGATTGTTTATTAGAGGCAAGGCTTTCTCCCACTTTAAATGTTCTCTTTCTGCTATTGTACCTATGATTACAAAACGTCAAGTATATTGAATAAGACTTAATTGCTTAAGCTTTTGCACTCATTAAAAACACTTGAATTTGTCTCTTACCTGGTCTAGGTGGCATTGAGTCTTCTGTTATTCTTTCTTCTGTTTCCATATTTGGGACAGTTTCATTCATAACATTTGAACTTAAACTAGATCTACATAGTTGAATAGAAAAATAACTCTGTTAATAATATTTGTGTTATCTATAATGGATAATAACTACCTAGGCCTTGGCACAGGTTTTTCAATAATATTGACAATTTCAACTGTTTGCTCATTTTCTTTTTGTAGATCTAATGATCCTTGTCCTATGAATTGTTTAATTAAACAACTATTTAAAAGATAAAATTTGAATTAGTATACCTGAATCAATTTGAGTAAGAGTCACGTGTTTATTGCAAGCCTCTAATACTGGATCCCAATTTAATGGATTATCCTCCTCACTACTTGGACTGTCAAACATCAATCGAATCATCTTTTTGTCTAACACAGTAGGTTTAGTTGTTTCTGATTCTTGGCTATCAGCTAAAAAATAATTTTTTTAACACATTTCAATTAATTTAAAAGAAATGCATTCATACACAAATCCAAAAGTTCATCTAACGCTGAATTAGAATAGTCTGATAGTTCGGATGTTTCATCGGCATCACGATCGCCTATTAATGGCTTCGTGTCTTCACATGGGTTAGGTACTAACATCGGTACTGGTACAGGGTGATGATGGAAATTATTTGAGCCATTAACATTTCGGTTCTGTTTTTTCTTTTGAAATAGCCAATTGTCTTCCCAAGAATCCACTGTCGAACTAATTCCATGATCATCTAAATCTAAGCAGTTAATTATATAAGCAAAAAATCAACAGGTAATTGTTTCAATATATTCCATTACAGTTTTTACCATCAGTTACTATGTCAGATTCAAAATCAGGTAGAGGAGTTTTGTACCCTCTTAATAATTTTGCGTTTGACATAAATAATCCAAGTGTCGATTGAGACCTTTCTTCGTCTTCTTCATCTCCCTCATTATATCCATCATCATAGTCTGCTTCAACATCCGAATAAGTGTTGTAACTTGTAGTGGTTACTTCTTCTACACGTTCTTCAACCTGATAAATTTGTTTGGCTAATATAATTAAATCGAATGAAATATAACAAAAAAATAATTTGCTTACGGTAAAGGAGATCCGCTCTGGGATAATTTTACATCTTGAGTTATCTGTTTTCTTTGAACTAGAAGAGTTTAAACTGGAGGCTGAAAATAATACATAATAGATGTATCGCTTTGTATAAAATGTACATTTAGTTAAACGTATCTTGTATTTACCCGAATTTCTCGATGAAAATTTGCCGAATCTACTATTTCCATTAGGAATACGTTTCTTAGTCTGACTATTAGAAACAATCTGAAATAATATTGATTAAAATATTAAACAGTATAATAATTTTAATTATACTATTTTAAAACTTGTAACTTACAAACATATTTATCGAATCAACATAAATGAAAAACAAAAGAAACAATAACTACTTAATCATTTTGGAAACGAAAAGAAGCCATAGAATTTAAATATAAAGGTTTCCAATGGACTCGTAAGTTAATGTGTTTAACACTTCTACGTGATCACTGAATTATTACAGTAACAACAAACCTTGTTTAGTATAGCTGTGGCCAGTAAATCTTCATAGTCTTTTTCTTCTAGATCTTCTGCTAATGGGACAACGCATTTTTTTTGAGCAGACTAAAGAAAAATGTATGAAAAGTTACACAAAAAAATATAATTATTTTAAGTATCTATAAATTATAAATTATAAATTATCCTTATACTTTTATGTAGTTCAATAATAAACAGTTTATAGTTTTAATAATTTTCCCAATAATATTTTGCCATTGAGTTGTATTAATGTATTATACTAATAACATTTATCATACATTTTTGTTTTAAAAAGAAACTTAATATGACATAAACCTACCTGTAGTTCGGGCAACGCTTCAACTTCACTGTACAACTCATCCAAAATTGATTTTAATCTTTTAGGTATATTCTCAAATTCGTCTGTTTCTAAAAAAAATGTTAAAAGTGTTATTGGTATATTTTTATAAACATAAAACGTACGTGACCTAAAAATCAACTTAGGTTTATAGATAAATAATACACAAAAAAAAAAAAAACATTTAAACGTCATTTCTAAAAAATGACTAATACTATTTTAATGAATGTTAGTTATTAACGATCCATTTACCTTTAATGATTGAGTGTATAGCATCATTTAATATGGTGGCCAACTTTTCGTGATACTTCCAACAAATTGACATGTCTATAGTTAAATAAAAGTACATACTATGTAACATAAAACATTTGAGCTAACACAAAAAAAAAAAAATTAAACTCTGTACTAACAATCCGGATGAGTAGACAGTGGCGTAAGACATACATCATCAAGACCACCATCCACTAGCCCTTCAACTAATCGTTCCAAATATTCACGAACTTCAAAAAAAGTTTCATCTGTAAAAAAAAAACTAAATTTTTATTACTATTATAATTAGTTTATCTTAATCAAATTTAATGAAAAAAATAGTCCTAAGGTCAACGACTGTACTATGTGTTTATGCTTAGATAATTAAAAAAAATATTGTAATACTATTACAGTATATATATTGAACCTTCAATTAATTAGACTAAATTAACAGATTGATAATGAATCAAATAGATTCATCAAATACTGTTTCATAACATATATTTATTAATGAAGTTAGAAAATTAGTACAACTTTGTTTAAATTTCATTATATAAATACTTTTTACTTACATAAATTCTTAAAAAATTTTCTTAGATAATGATAATTTAACATGATGTAGACGTTAATAAGAACCATAATAAAAGTATTTTGCAAGAAATAAAAAGTTATTAAAACCAGTTTTACTTCAATTTTGAAGCTATCACATAATTTATATTAATGAAACTTTTTTATATTTTTACGTTGTTATTTTAAAATTAACTAATAAATTATGTTTCTCGTACTTCATATTTACTATTAGTAAATATTAAAAATATAAAATCATCAAAGAAATTTAATTAAAACGAAAACAATAATTACATAAATACTAGATAATGTCAATGACATTTATATTTCTTCCTGTAATATTTTGTCATAAAGATATAACAATTTTTACTATAGTATTTTAGAGAAAGTTTTTGTACTACATTTAAAAATAAAAATAAAGGTGTAATAATTACATAATATCAAAAGTTAACATAAATTTAACTATTCATCAATAAAAATATAATATTTTTTTTATGGTTTGCTTGACAAATTTTGAAATATTAATGTTTTATTATCTTTTTCTGTAAATATCAACTTCTCGTATAAATAACAAAATTAATGATTTATTTTAATCTATTTTAGAAGTAATAAATATTAAACAAAAGTTTAATACTTCGATTCTAAAATTTATATTAAACTTGAGTTTTTCATAAATTAATTAAGGTTTATTAATTACTTATCAAACACAAACAATCACAAAGCAAAGTATTTTACAAACCATTATAAATTATTAATATTTTAATAACCAAAATTTGGATATATCAATAGACACTGATTTTTCTTCTATTAAAATAAATTTATAAGATATTTACAACTAAAAGGTTTAAACTAAAAAAAATAATGAACTCTGAAATAATTAAAATTAAAAATTGAGATTTGCAAATTTTTGGTAAATATTTGGTTTAGGAAATAAATGATAAAGTGCTCTTTATCATTTATCTATTATATTTAAAAATCCACCTTGTTTTTTAATCTTTTCAAAAAAGAGGTTATTTTACTTTTTAATTTTCTTCTTATTTAATTTTTACCATAATGTCATATTAATACCTTCAGTTCTGAGTGTCTAATATAAAACCCTTATTTTGTTATTTAAAAAACAAATGTAAAAAACTTCCGTCTGATTATTTGAATATATATTTAGAATATGCATTAAACTTAATAAATTAAAATTTAGCTCTTATATTTGTTTAAACTTCATATCAACAAAGTTGAAATAAATTTTTACTTATTAATATTTAGACTAATTGAAGTCATTTCAAATATAAGTATTAGTTATACTGTTCAGTAATTATGGAGAAGTCACTTGATTTTGAGAAAAATGTAAAAAAAAATATTTACTAGTAATTTATTCATAACTAAATATAAAAATATATAAATCATTATTCATAATAGATAAACATTTTCTCATCAAATTATACAAATTTAACGTTTAAAATTTATTTAATTTTGAAATGTAGTTAGTAATTTAAATTAAAATCACTTATTATTATTTTTAATTATTAGAATGCTAAATATTTTATAACAAAAGTTATATTCCTAATTATTGTATTTCAAATTTAAAAATCATCAATTAGTAAAATATAAATCCCAAGTTCAAATTATTTTAACTATAAATACTTACGGTCATCGTTTTTTTCGTGGGACGCCACTTTTAACTTCAATTTTTTGTTGAGAATTTCACGATGATTAATGTGTGGTAAATTAATTCTGAGAACACAAAATAATTAAAAATTAAAAGACAAATTTTATAAAAATCTTAAAATTATCAATAAACTCACAAACGCATTTTAATTTTATTATTAATGTATATATTTATTATATAATTTTAACTAATTCAACGTAACAGAAAAATATCTAAACAAAAAAACTTCTAGACAACACGCGAAAAACATAAAAGTAAAGAGTTCCATGTCCTTTTGTTGATCTTCGATACCATCAGAGGATAAAAAAGAACCTTCGGGTATCAATATCGCATTAACTTTGGCCATAGTTCACGCTATTGAAAATAATATATGCCAAATAATTATGAAGATGCCTAAGCCACCACCAGCAATGGACTATGAATAATTACGTATACACAAACTAAAGTGGATATCAAAACGGATAGAATTGATATTATTAATACTATGTATTATGCCCTATTACATGTCTGCGAACATTAACAACGGGAGATGAAAGAAATTACTTTCTCTATGCCATCGTACCAGTAAAGACCGGCTCAATATACACCAATGCCTAGACTACTATACCAAAATGTTACACAATTTCATCCCCACCATTGAGTTTACCGTAACCCCTTCATAAGCAACCCACAGATATAAACTTTAAGTTATGATATTTATACAAATTATGTTAAGACACAACAATGTTCACCTTTGGTCATTTGCATTTAACTTAAACGATTAAGATAAAATTATATATTTAACACTTTCCATAAAAAGACGAAAACCATTAAATGTACGCAATCTTTTTTAGTAATTTACGTTTTATTTTGCCATAAAATAATTGCACTTTCAATAAACAAAATACAAAATATATGGATATGTTTAAGTAGTTATTTAGTTTCCATTACATCTAATACCTTATACTTAAATAACGACTTTTTTTTTCATTTTGTCAATTTTCTCTGATTTCTAACTTTTTATATATATAAATAATTAATTTATACTCGCAGACGTTTCCATACTTTATAGTTTATACAACTTTTCTATAATTTATTTTTAATTACTCAAAAATAACTAAATTGCCTAACCACTATACAATTGCTTAATTTGGATATTTAGAATAAAAATTGTTAATGCAATTTTTGACAAATGAAAAATGTTTACTAGAATTTTTCTCTCTATTATTGTACACCCAAAAAGGAATTATACTATTAAAAGCAGCTCTATCTTCAAAGTATTAAATAGGAACATAAAACTCTCTAATCACACTTAAGTGTCTATTTTTAAATGATCAAACATCTATAAACCACTAAATAAATAAATATACTTATATATAATTTAAAAGAATAAAAATCTGAGTCAAAAACTAAAATTACTAGATATTTATTTCTGAATTTTAATGAAGGTTCTATTCATTTATAATATCATTGTCAATCTTACGAAGGTAACTTAGTAATCGTAATAAACTACAAAATAACCATTTTTTTAAATGTCAACTCAGACATTTAAGCAACAATATAAAGCTATACTTAAAAAATGTTTTAATGATAAAAATCAACGACAGACAATTTAAAAATTACAAATAATAAATTTAATACAATAAAATGAATTCCACCTGTAGGTTTTTTAAAAATGTTGTTTTAAAAACGCAAATTTAATAAATACACTTTAATTATTCAAAACTATTGCAACTTTAGTAGACTAGTATAGTTTTGCTTAAATAAGTAAAGTTAATACATTATGCCTTGTAATTAGGATTCGAATATAATTTATCAAAGTATAATCATTAATTATTACCACCAATTATGTTAAATGTTTATATAGTACTAAGATGTGTTATTATATTATACGGGCGTGATACTGTATCACAAGCACTAACTATGTCACTATTTCATAAAAATCCTTAATGCAATTGAAAGAAAATCTATATATTAGAAAAATAGCATACAATTCTACTTATATAATTTGTACGCGAAAATCGACATTAAAACTAATTTGTGATTGTCACATTGTTAATTAAAATTCTGGTTTTAATTTAGCAACAAATAAAAAATCAGATTTAAGGATCCATTCATCTGAATTTGTAACAATAGTACTATAATAAGTCCATAAAAAGTGGACTTATAACTACGATATTTATGTTGTCTTTTATATGAATTAGCGTCATGGAATATCAAATCAAACCATACGCGGTGCATATTAAATTAAACCCATATTTATGTCAGCGTATCTCAATAACAGTAATAATACCTCTATGCAATTGTACTGCGGATATGCATAGTAATATTCCGTGTGCGTTCTCACCGGTAACGGGTCAAACAGGAAGTGAAAATTCTCGGTCGCACACGATGTCGCAAATCATTTAAAATTGTAGTAAAAAAGTTCGATTTTTTAACGCCACTAAATAGGTTTAATTCATTACGAATAAACACCTTCGCGTTATTATTATACTTCTATGTAGGAAGAAAAATAATTGTTATATTATTCAGAGTAAAAACGAAAAAGTCAAAAAAAAAAACAGAAAGTTGACATTGCATTGCATTACATTGTTCGGATGTGCGTATTATTTATTACATTCAGAAAAAACGGCGCTTTCAATTATTGAAGTGATGAATCTAAGAATATCTAGACACTAGAATGATTAATGACTTAATATTTACCATATAAAGAAAAAGCACAGTTTCGCCCGTTGGTTGCAGCATTATAAATGTTAATTTATTCGACGAAATCATCATCATAATACTACACACATGGGAATTATGTTATCGAAGAAGACTTAAAAGGCATTTACAATCAACTACTATGATTTGATTCATGGTTGCACTTAATAAATTTACATCTATCATCTAAATTTATTTTACGAAAGAATGTTGAAAGAGCTATACTTTCTCTTTCATAGTACTTTTTTTATAAATGATTTAAGGCAAAAATAAGACATTTTTGATATGAAAAATAAAACATATATCACAATCATTTAAACGCAATAATATTTATTAGCCTGGCCTACTATAATAGTTTCAATAAGATTTTTAGACTTCGAGTTCAGTTTTAATAAATTATAATAGTCAATTATAACATTATAGAAAAAATATGTTAGACTTATGAACTTGCCAACACAAAATATTTTATAACAACTAGGAAAAAAAATCTTTTTTTAGAAATAATTTTATGGTTGACGCGATTAGCCCGAGAAATAAATAACAGCGACATATACAACCAATATCTATACATGAATAATTTCTAACTTGTTGATTCAAATGTTAATTTAAATACGCCTAATTACATGTTATTGTTTATCGACCCACGAAGAGACTACGTAAACTCATTGACAATAGTCTATAGGTCAATGTTATTACCTGGGTATGTGATTTTACATAGCTGGATGTCCATTTACTATTCATGTTTGTTTTCTATGTAAATAGAAATTAACATGACCTCGAAAACAGTAGATTTTAATTAATCACTAAACGTTAATTGCTGACGATCGTGGGTTAAGGAAAATTGGTATTGTATCTCTCATTTACGTTATAATTTTAATACACTATTATTTTATTGTGCACATAATACGTGATCGATAGTAATTAAATATTTCATTGCACATACTTGTCAAAAATAGAAGGAACGAATAAAATAAATGGACTGTTATTAAAGTGCATTGACCAACATAAAACTCAAGAAGACGTAAAAATTTAAGTGGCTGTTGGTGATGACTACATAGCGTGAAGAGCAATGTAAAACATCATAGAGAATCTGATCCCCAATAAAATAGATAATGGAATCGATACATCGTCACCATCGATTAATTACTTTCATAACAAACACATTAATTAACTCTATATATAATACAACAATATAGGTTCGAAATCTTGACTATTAAAATAAATGTATAAAATCTCAAATGATTTAAGAAAATTAAATAAGTAATTGAATATTAGTAAATTGAATCTCTTAGGACATTATTCATGACATTGTTAAAATATTTTACTTCTTTAATTAAATTTTATATGATATTTGAATAAATAGATTTTTTCCTAAAATTAAATTTTAATATTTTTAGACATTGAATATTTACTAATTGTATTTAATCAATGTCTAAGATAATAGTATTATAAACGTGTTCGCGCGTTAAAGTTTCTCATTAACCATATATATTTTTAATTCTATAATTTATGTCTATAAAGTAACTATACTAGTTGAATGGATAATAATTTATTAATAATAAATTTTTTAATCACGTGCATTAAATTTTCATAAAATTATAATGTACAAAATTTTATTCCATTTAATAATTAGTAAATTCTACAGAAATTATTCCAATCCATGCAACCACAGTCTACATAATTATAGAACTAAATTTTATATTATTATTACACCTAACCATTAGTTATCTATATCAATTAAACATTTGCACAAAAGAACAGTTGATTTTTTTTATTTTACCAACTATAACTGAAATTATATTTTATAATAGAAAATGGATCATTGAAAAAAAGTCAAAATCTCATACGTTTAAACCATCACATTGTTCGCGTCATCGAAATAATAGTTTATTAGACAATATTTTAAAAGTAATTTGACTAGGCAAGGGTGTTTAAATTATTAATTTATAGCTTATTTTTCGATGCCATAGGTTAAATTCATTTTTTTCCGATCAACCGGAAGAGTATCTCCAGGAAACCATACCCTTAATGGTTCCGCGTGCATACACTCAATATAAATATTTATTTAACGTAAATTATTATAAACTGTAACAGTACAATTTTTTACTATTCCATCGTGATTCAAATCAATGTTTTAAATTTTTTTTAATTATTTACATCAATATCCCAAGTAAATTATAATCTTCTAATTATTGATTTCTAATTAATTCTAATTATTGAACAATATTTGATATTCAAGGTTAAAACTAGTCTAGTATCTTGTAAATTTACTAGTTGTTGCTTAAATGTGCCACACATTTTTCATTTAAATAATTATTATATTATAACTAATATATTTAATATAGTTCAGATAAAAAATTGAAATAATAGTATAAAAACACTT